AGGAAAAGAACAATTGCTTGACTTACTGTTCCTCAGTTGATCCCTGAAATTGAACTCTATGACTTGCTCTTGTACCTATTTTTTCCTCCAGAAAGTCTTCCCCTTTTAATCCCCTGTTGGGATTCTCCCTTGCTTCTAGGTTACATTAGGTTACTTCTACCCCAAGTCTCTGCTGGCTCTCCAAAAAAACCGATCCCCCTCCCCGACAACTACTCATCAGGGGTCTGCTCCGATTTATTGGTAGGCACTGAGGATGTACAGTGAACCCTAATCTCTGCTCACACAGAACTCTCTACCAGTAGGGGCAACAGAAGGATCGCAGATAATTTTAATCGAAAAAGCAGCATCAAGAGAGAGATAGGTAAGTCCAGGGAGATTCAGAAAAAGCAGAGATTCCTCTTGGCTGTGGAAAATCTGGGCAGACTTCAAGGAGGAGTGGTACTGCCTATGGAATTTAGAGCTAGGTGGGAAGGACACTCTAAGTGGAGGGGTGAAGACTAGCACTGTGAAAGCCCGGAAACTGTGCAGGGAAGGGGGGTTCCCCTAAGCAGAGACAATATGAAGAAGAGGAGGTAGAAGGGGCACAGGTGGGAGTGAACCAGTCAGCTGCCAGGCTCAGGAGGTTGAATTTTATGCTGTAGGCATCTGAAAGCCACAGAAAACTTTAAAGCAGGGCATGATGTGTTCAGGGATATGCCTCAATCTCTCAAATGAACTGAGATGATCCCTGCTTTGGAGGTTCCAAAACACACCGCTGTGCCTGTGGTTCCTCCCTGCCCCTTTCTGCATAACATGGCCACCTACCAGTTTGTTTGCTTGCACACTCTGCCCAACTTAAGTGAAAGACAAGAATGATTCTAATGCTAGCATACTGTCTTACAAATAGCAGCCCTCAATAAATATGTAACAAATGAATGTGCAATGGTCACTTCAAACTGTTTCTGAATGAATGAAGAAATTGGGTGAGAAAGCACAAAATAATAAAACAAAAACAAACAAACAAAAAAAACCACCGAGTCTAATACAAACAAAGCTAGATGAGTGCAAGGGTTCCTTCAACCTTCAGATCCTGTGTGGACACCAAGATGCTCACTGTTCAGAGTGACTGACATGGAGAGGAAAAGACGGCAATGGTAAAGGAGACAACTCAAGTGCCTTAAGACTATGGGGAAGTGCGTGTCATGGGTGGTGTCCAGGCCAGGAATGGTGTATCAAGAGTCCTGTTCAATGCTCAGCACCTGGAACAGGAACGCAAAAAGAGTCCAGCCCCACTGTGACCCTGTTCCCTGATGACTGGTGGTTATCTGGGAAGGAAGAAAGAGAGAGAAACTGTTCAACCTCTCAGGTTGAACTTCTGTATTTTTACCTTTTTTAAAAAGAGGGAATGAAGTGCTTTGCATGCTGCAAAGAAAGGGGCTCCACCTCTCAATCAAGAAAGAACAGAACACTCCACTGGGAGAGAGGCTCACTCTCTCCCAGGTCCACACGGGGTGTGCAGGCTCCAGAGCTTGCTGCAGCTAATAACCATGTTCGCCATGCTATTTTTTCTTTGTACATCACCACCTTTTACTTTTGAAGCTCTTTCACTTATATTATCATACCTCAAACCACCTTGTAATTAAGTTACTCTGTCCAGCTGGCACTTAAAGAGATCTGATAACTTGCCCAAGATCCCTCAAACTAGGAAAAGAACCCAGGTTCCTGACTCTCAGGCCAGGCTCCTCCACTGGATCTCACAGTTTCTGGGGAAGTAACTTTCGTGGATGTGGCAAGGACTCCCCAGAGGTGACCCAGCGATAGGTACTGCCCTTCTGGAAGTTATGCCCACTTGATTTGAGTATGGGATGGGCCCCTCCATTTGGTGCAGGCCTGGGTGATCTTGTTCTTTATCCTGGCCAAGGGCAATGTGTGGAAGCTAAAGCTTGGAGGATGTGAGCAGCTGGTGTGGCTTACCCGAAGGAGGGAGGGAGGGCGTGGGAAAGGAAAAGCAGAACTTAGCACCATTCGCAACTGCAGCTCTCCAAAACTACACCCTGCATGGCCCAGTTTAATATGTACCCTGCAGTGCTGACTGCGACTGGAATTCCCTTTTTCTAGTCTAAGTTTCCTTTTTACTGCAAAGCCTTCCAGGCGGTAGGGCAGCAACACCCATTACTAGCCATTACTATTTAGTCTAGCCCTATTTTTGGAGCCAGCTCAGGGTGTTTGTCTCTTTTTTCTTTTAAACAACAAAAGAAGTGCATTGCAAAGTTCAAACTATATGCACATGACTAGAATAAAAAGTTAAAACTTTCTTTTAATTTCACACCAAAGGGGTAATTATGGTCAACAGTCTTTTTCTTTCCTGCCACACCTACTGACCTTTACACACACACACACACACACACACAAACACACACTTCATACACATGTATATGATTTTTTAAACAAATAGGATATTTGCATATAATTCTGCAAACTGCATTTTTCATTTAACAATAAACATATCGTGTAACCAACCTTGCTGGTATATTTTTCTAATTTTAATTTCTCATTTTGGGCCGTTTATAATGTATAGAAAAAGCAGTGCAGCATAGGAAATATCTAGTATCAATTTTGAAAATTAGTAAATTGTTACAATTGATCCCCTCCCCAGACTTTCTAGGAGTCCCCCAGGACCAGCTTCAGAACATGCAGGGAGGGGACCAGCAAAACCTAACCCACATGATATCTGCTTGGTACAGGACTTCTCAACAAATGGCCCAAACAGGCTTGGTACTTAGAGACCAGCACTTGGAAGCTGAGCCTGAAAAACTGTTAAGGTTCCTCCTCCAGCGTCCAATCCACTGGGGGGAGATTTCAGGAGAGTTGTAGGTGACAGGCAGAGGCAGGTTCCATGAGAGTGCAATGCTTTGACAGTTTCCCCTTTTTAAAATCCAGGAGTCAATGGTTTGCAAGGGCAGTTGCCTTGCTCAAACACAGGGAATTTAGGTTCCTTTTTTGCAGAGCATGTTCTCTGCAGATTCTGCAGGGCCACCCACATGGTGTGGCTAACCCTGATAGCTATCCTCTGTCCCAGGAGGAGTACATGCTAATCCTGGCTCAAGGGCAGAGACCTACTGCCTAGATCTGAATCCAGGTCTGGGTTGCTATCTAGAGCAACCAGATGGGGAGAGGCAGAGGGTATAGGGCAGCTAGAGAGAGCACTAGGGTAAAGGGGTAAGGGCATACTGCCTTCTCTGAAATGTTTTTTCAAGATCCATGAAACAGCATTTTGGCTATGCCCAGAGCCCATGGGTAGCAAATGTTTTGATTCCTTCTGTTGCCTTTAGAACACGGAGTACTTCTGTGTGCAAGCACCGTTCAGTCCTTTAGATGCACTGAATAATTTAGTCCTCACAATTGCCCGGTGAGTGCATGTTATAATATTTTCCCTGTTTTACAGATGGGGAAAAGAAGGCACAGGAAGTCATGTGATTTACCTAGTGAGTAGCAGACATAACATTTGAACTCAGTACTGTAGCTCCAAAGCCATGCACTTAAGGATCACACACCTTTTTAGACTGGTGTGGTGATCTCAAATGTATTATGTTTAGAAGTAAGGTTTCATGTTATTTCCATTATGGAAAGCCCTAGTTCAAACAAATATAAGCGGGCTTCTTTCATACAATACTTCTGAGGGTCTCTTCTACACTGGGATACATTCATAATCTGCAAGAGACATATGGTTTACAGCATTTCCCCAAATTATTTGAGCATGGAAATGTTTTCCTAGCAATTTCTCATGAGATTAGTAGTTTTGCTGACCACACTGAGTAAATGCTGGCAAAGAGAGTTGTTAGGAATAGGGCTGATTCTTGCCATTTAATTGTGTGATTCTTGAAACTGCTTAATTGGAGCCTGTCTCCTCATCTGGGACAGGAGAGGAATGTGGTCCTGGTACCTCACCACACTGTTTAAAAATGAAATACATACCCATTAAGTTCTTAAGCTATGCAGTGCTCTGGCTGTGAGCAGTGGCACACACCAGCAATTCCAGTGGCTTGGGAGTCTGAGACAGAAGGATCCCAAGTTCAAGGTTAGCCTTAGCAACTTAGCAAGACTCTAATTTAGAAAGATCCTGTATCAAAATAAAAAATAAAAAGGGCTGCAAATGGGAAACTCTTTTGATTATAAAGAATATAATAAAATAATTTAAGAACAAAGAAATGAGACTTCAATTTAAAAAAATCAGAGAATCACTGCAAGTACTATAACCTCTGAGTGATCATTACCAACAGCAGTTTCTGTCAGAAAAACATGCAAAATCCTCACAAAGAAAACAACCCTGAAGCACTGCAGAGTACATTACCATTCTAAGGAAATGAGGAACAGGGAAACATTCTAAAAAAACTACTTCTGACAAAAACGTTTCTTTGCAAAATGTGTCCTCTAATGTGGTAACAGAGGCAGACAGAGGACAGGACCAGTTTCCTGAGTGCTGACAAGTGGGCCATCTCTCAGGATGGAAAGGGTCAGGTCGTGCCCACCACACTAGGCATGGGGAAGATCTACACTAACTTTCTCGGGGGAGAATTCTCATCACCAAACTGAAAATGGCTTGGCATCAGCAGGACACCTTCCTGCTCCCTTTTCCTGTCTTACAGTGACTCATGCATCTGTGTTCGTTTCAATTTCAGCGGCTGTGGGAGAGGAGCTGAAGGACTGTGTTGTTAGGAACTCTGACTCCACAAAGGCACCCTCCCACAACACAGTGCTCTTTCCGTCACGCCTGCCAAACATGTGAGGATGGACAAAACACAAAACAAAAACCCCATGAGTACAAGTCCGGGAGAAGGCTACAGCAGGCAGCCATGGCCGCTACTGTGTAAGCCGGGGGCCCGCCCTGCTAGGGGCGGCCTGGCACCTAAGGCCCTGTGCTCAGTGGACTGGAGCAGCTCTGCACTAGGGGCCTGTTTCCTGTTGTGCAACTATGTAAATGAACCCCGCGCTGGGGAGGGCTGGCTGCACCCTGTGGCAGGAATATGTGAATGGTAGAGCAGTAGGGCCCAGGGCAGCTCTCAAAGCCTGCAGGCTCACACGCTGGATGCCATCCCCAGGAGCATGGCCCTTGTCTCTGCCAGGAAACTATCCATATGGTAAGAACAGACAATTCCCTGGCAAGCACAATCTGGCAAAGGTGGAGCCAGCAACCTCAGGAAACAGGGTGGTGGTGGGGGGATGAGTTGGAAGATGATTGAAACCTAGGGGACTGAACTCTAGGCTGAACTCAAAATGGTTTCCCTGGGCCACTTCTGCAAACAGCCTGTTTCCTTACATGTAAAACAAAAGGGGCTCCTCTCTGTCTCAGGGCAGGAACCAAATGTGGATGATTTCCAATGTTCACACCAATACTGAAAAGGAAGGGTCTTATTCTCCATTTTGCAGATGTGTAAATTGAGGCTTGGAGGAATGAGCATGGTCAATGTCCGTACGGGTACAAGTCACAGAGCCAAAATATGAACAAAAAACTGCAGGTACTGTGTCCCTTCTGAAATTTTACATAGATGTCTAAGCTTTAAAGTGATGTTTACAACTAAAATAAATTCTTACTTTTCAGATACTAGCATTGCTGAGTTGGTAAATTATCTACTTCAAATTAAAAATCTTACTTTCATCAATCCTTCTTGGACTACTTGTTCTTTTGCCATTACCAAATAAACATGTTCTTAGGGGATTGCAAAAGGGTTTTGAAATTAGCTAAAGCAAAGTCTAATTATAATTCTCATCTTAAATTGTTAACAAAATAAAATCACTAAAACAAGTCTGTGACCAAATATAAATTAGTTGCATTTATTGGTCTCAGGAAAGTTGTACCAAGACAGAACAGGCACAGGATGGTGGGAAGCACTTCTGGGCCCAAGGTCAAGAGACCTGGGGGTCTGTCTACCTAGGCCCTCAAATTAGGTTTCTACAAACCACCACCTGTCCCTGTTCTCTGCTCTTCCTGCATCAGTAAAACAAAGGGTTTAGATCAGATCAGTGTCTCTCACCCACTTTATTATAAAGATGCTTATTTTAGGGGGTGGAAGGACTAGAAACTGAACCCAGTGACTTCCATACTTGAGGCAAGTACCATGGAGCCACATTTTAGCCCACGAAGATGCTTTCAAAGTACAAACTCTTACTAGATTCTGCTCCTTCAAAGACAGTTGTACTTTTGAAGCCTATGGGTTATAAGAATATATAATGACAAAAAACTCACATAAATGTTCTCCTACTAATTGCAACAAATTTTTCATATACTTGAACAAGAGTAGTGCCTTTATGTTTAAGACATTATTATTCAATTTATTGTCAATGTGTAGCCTCCATAAAAATTCCCTCACCCTTTACAATATATTACCCATTCCCCTTCCCATTCTTTGCATATATACAGTGAACCTTTGCATTAAATGGACTTAAAAGGTTCTTTTCGGTATCGGGCTTTGATTTTATCACAAGCCAAATACTTCTAAGAAATGCCATACTAACTTTCCATTTTCTGTTCAGAAATTTTTCAGTTAGTGATTTTGTTATGCAGCAAACCACACCCATTGTACAATGAAGACAGATTTATTCGTTAAATACACGTGTTTTACACAGACACACACACAGACACACACACAGACACACACACACACAATGCCTGTGCTAGGTATACACAGATGAATAAAGTAGACCAGATTACTGGTCTACATCAAGTCTTTCACATGATTCTTGAGTCCTCCTCTGTTTTATCTCTAGCTTCAACCTCTCTTTGGAGTTCTGATTTATAATCTTCACGTGTCTGCTCAACATCTTTACTTGGATATCTAAATTTATCTCAAATTTCTTGTGTGTAAAGCAAACCTTGGGATCTTTCCCTACCATGCTTGCCAAAACCTAAAATCCTTCTTTCAATGGCATTCCCCATCTCTGAAATGGCAACATCATTCACCCAAATGCTTAGGTATAAAAGACTCTCTTTCCTGTTTGTGATATTCTTGCCCAGGTGGCATCTACAGATACTTGATTATGGGGACCAGAATTATCTTAATGCAACCTAAGTTTATTGAACACCTACTATTCTCAGGTGAGGCACTAGGGATGCAGCAGAGGGGACCAATATCACACAGGTAATGAAGAATGGTGTGGTACTGTATGGGGATGTGATCACTGTTGAGAAATCACAGAGCAAAGGGGCTCTCCCTGGTCTAGGTGGAGTTGTGGAAATGGTGTCCAAGATCTCTACCTTTAAAGGTAGGAGCCTCTTTGAAGTCTTCCATTTGGAAGGTTAATATTATTTCCTAATGATGTGCTCCCATAACTTAAATTATCTGACAGATGAACATCAGGGTAAAGGAAGTATTATGCTTCTACTCCTGCATACCAGGTAAATCAGTGCTGGGCATGAACCAGACAAGATGAATTCAGATATTCAGAGAACAAATGAACTGCTTACTCTAAGCCTAACCAAGACACAAAAGCCACTTTTCACTCCCCTTTCAAAATGCATAAAAATTGGGGGTTAGGAGGTGTAGCTTGGTGACAGAGCACCTGCCAAGCATTCTTGGGGTACTGGGTTCAGTCCCCAGCACCACAAACAAAACAACAGACCAAAAATTGTTCATATCCTTTGACTCAAAAATCCTAACTCAGGGAATTCATTCTAAGGAAATAATTCAAAGTATGTGTGGAAAGATATTCACTGAAAAAATTATTTATTAAAAATGAGCCAGGCATGGCAGCATACACTTGTAATCCCAGGGACCCAGGAGGAGCACTGGTTTGAAGCCAGTCTTAGCAATTTAGCAAGATAAAAATTTTAAAAAATTAAAAATACACATAAAAAAGGGCTGTGATATAGCTCAGTGTAGAGCAACCCTGGATTCAATTCCTAGTACTTAAATATATATATAATCTCTCTCTCTCTCTCTCTCACACACACACACATACACACACACACACACACACACACACACATAGGGAAGAAAAACAAAAATTCATGCCAGCTGGATGGTAAAACACTGAAGGTATAATATTGAGGACTGTATTGCTATATAAAACATGCTTAGCAACACAGTGAATCCCACACCATGTACATTCATAAGAATGGGACTCTAACTAGAATAAGATATATTTCATGCTTATATATTGAAATGGATTCTTGCTAAGAGCCATAGCCAAGTAGTATGATGCATGGCATTTTTGGTTGAAAGGTGACGCCAGCAAGCCATTGCGATGATATGATTATGTTAAGATCTGCATTCATATGGATATTAGACCCCTGCTGTCCACCTCAACCTGCTACAGGACTCCTGGAGAGTTCCCATTGGTTGGGGAAGTGCGGTAGGAGGGAATTCCGGAGGAGGGATTTCCTGTGGCCCGCCCCGGAGAATGCTTCGTGGGTCGGTCGGCATTTTTTCCCGGGAGCGTATGGGGCATTGGCAGGGAGTTTCAAAAATAAAGTTTGTTCCTGCTTGAGTGGCTCGTGATTTTGTGCCCAGCCAGATTGCGGCAGATTCTGCTGTCATATATAACCAAAAAAAGGGAACCAATAAAAAGTGTTATATAAAATTTACATATGAAACGAACAGAGGGCAAAACATACAAAATGAAGTTAATTTTCTAGACATGTCTATGAATCTTCTTTTACAATTGTTGTTTGAACAATAAAAACAATAAAAATATGTAACATGGATATATTTTGTCCTAACTCACATGGAGCATGGGTCTATAAATTATAGCCACTGAGCCAAAACCATTCCACTGTCAATTTTTGTAAATAAAGTTTTATTAGAACACTGACATGCCCACTGGCTTAAGTATTATTATCCATGGCTGCTTTTGCTCTCCAATGGTAGAGGCAAGTAGTTGAGAGACTAGATAGTTCACTAAGCTTACCATATTTACTAACTGGTCCTATGCAGAACAAGTTTGCAACCCCTGATCAAGAGTAAGGAAGGATCATGGTTAATTCCCTAAGCTTATCACATTAGTAACTGCTATGGAATGAGTGTTTATGCCCTTTCAAAATTCATACATTAAAATCCTAACTGCTGAAGTGATAGTATTAGGAGGTAGTGATTAAATCCCTTCATGAATGGGATTAATGCCCTTATAAAATCAGCCCAAGGAAACTCACTGGCCCCTACCACAGTATGAAGACACAGTCAGAGAACGAATTGCATAAGTGGAGACAGCCCTCAGAAGACACTGAATCTGTCAGAGCCTTAATCTTGGACATTGTAGGCTCTGGAACTGTGAGCAAGAAACTTTTGTTGCTTCTAAGATACCTAGTTATGATATTTTTGTTATAACAATCTGTACAGACTAAGACAATAACTTAGCAGATACTCCATGAAATGTATGAATGAACAGGAATTTATCTATATTTTATACCAACATTTAATGGTGGTTCTTCTTCTTTTTTTCTGGTGGTGCTAGGGATCAAACACAAGACCTCATGCATGTGAGACAAGTGCTCTACCACAGAGCTATACCTTCAATTCCTTCCTACTTGTTCTTAAACACACACACACACACACACACACACACACACACTCACACACAGAATGAAACAACTACCACTCCAAATAACTCTCTCCACAGTTTCTATTTCAATTTGGATAAGAAGGTCATACATTAATCAAAAAGCTTATTATCTAAATTGAACCCCAGTTCACTTTTATATAATATAGACCTGGAGAGGAGACAGAAATGCTTCTTATGTTAAGGACTACTGCTGAGAACTGAAAAACATTTCTTATAAGTGGTTTGTTTGTTTGCTTGCTTTTGAAAGCTTCTCTGGCCTTCAGGAAGAATAAACAGTCAGAGGTCCTGGCTCTTCCTACGTTGAACACCTGAACTTCACAGCCATCACCTTCCTATGTAAGGTCACCAACACATGCAGACAAGGTGGACTTCTCTTTCAAACCATTCCTTGTTGCACCACAAGAATGCATTGAGCTGGGTGTGGTGGTGCACACCTGTAATCCCAGCAGCTCAGGAGGCTGAGGCAGGAGGATCACAAGTTCAAAATTGGTCTTAGCAACTTAGTGAGGCCCAAAGCAACTCAGTGAGCCTTGTTTCAAAATAAAAAATAAAAAGGACTGGGGATGTGGCTTAGTGGTTGAGTGCCCCTGTATTCAATCCCTAGTATTAAAAAAAAAAAGAACGCATTGACCCTGAAGTTCACAGTATTCAATCCAAAGTCCTTAAGGAGTACTTGTGCCCTTAGCTGCCTGTCATCTGTTTCCTTTGCTTGTTGATAGGGGAAGACTGAAGGCTACCAAGTAGGGCTCAGAGCTCATTCCCAGATTATCATAATCACAAAGAGAAACTGACAACCAAAGTTACAAATCACTCTTGGGCTCTGGCATTGTTAGAGACTGCAACAACTGAACAAAGTGTGTGACATTAGAATTAACTAAAAATTCTATGTAACTTGGGACACTGATGAAAATTGGATCAAGGAAGTAAAGTCTAAGTCAAAAATCAGCGATTGAAAGGCTGGAGTTGGCTTGCAGACTTGTTTTATGTGGCCTGTAGAGAATTAAAAAAAAAAAAAAATGTAGCCAACATTTAGGAATTGGGAGCTTTCACATAAAAATCCAGATTTCTGGCTTTCCAGAGAGCACATTCCCACGTGACTGCTGGGCTGAGGCCGAGTAGCAGTAGTGCCTTAGGAGAGGGTGGCTTCACTCCCTACATGCAATACTTGCTGGACCTTAGGCCTCTCAAGTTGTCACCCTGGGCAAGTCATCTTCAAATAGGCAATGGTGCCAAGGACAAGCTTAGGAATCAAAGTGCCAAGACTGAATTTCAGTCCTTTCTCCCTCTCTACTTGGAAGTGGCACAGATGAGGATGAGGCAGAGGACGCTAACACTCTTTCAGAAATGACTTGAATAGGGTTCGTAAAATTTACAGAAAGACACTCTGCCACAATATGCACTAAATAATACTAAGAAACATTTTATTCTCATGACCCTCGTCTCTGCTGATTCCCCCTGATCAGCTCATTAAAATTCAGTGAAGATCACTGGCAAATTATGCCATCTGATTGGTCTCTACATCAAAGAGTGCAACTTTCCACTCTTGGGAAGGTACAAGGATTTTTAGTGGTACACAGATATATCTTTATTTTAATAGAAAAAAACAGTTTTAATGTTTGTTGGTAAAAAAGATAACTACTCACCGAATCAGTGGCTTTATGACTGATAGAGAGTTAATTTAAATTAGATTGTGTGATTAGATTATGCTGCTTCATTAGAAGAGTAAAGTGTAAATTGTTTATCTATTAATGAGGAAGAATAAAGGTATCCAGCTGCTTGGTACAAAATTTATAATAAACACTGGATTTACTAACAACACTGGATTTACTAACAACTTGGGGGTGAAGTCCCCAAGTTACCTTACTGGATTTATAGCCTAATAGGGAAGAAGAACAGCTGGGTGAGAATGAAATGTTTTAAAGAATCTGAATCTTGGATTCACAGCATCAAGATTTACTATGTTCTGAACTTAGTATCTGAAGCAGAAGCAAGGTGGGTAGGCAAAACATCATCAAAACTGAAACAGAACCAATAAACACACAAAAAAACAAACAAAAAAACTTTAAAAACACTGTCATGTATTTAAAAAATAAAACAAAACAACAACAATAACAACAAAAAACTGAAACAGGACAAAACACAATACATTTTTGTTAACACATAATAAAAAAAACGACACCTGATTCAGGCACAAGTGTTTCTATGCAGCAAACTATAGAGATTTTTATCTGCTGCTGACACAAAGGCAAAAGGAAAGAGTGGCACCCAGATGAGGCTGGGTGCGATAAGAATGGTGACAACCCAGGAGGCCTCTGCAGAGAGGGATTCCTTGCCAGGTGAGGCCCTGGGGAAATAAAACCGTTTATTTAGTTTTACCCTTGTCTGCCTAGGTTTGAACTTGCTTCCTGACTCCCTCCCCACCAAAAAAGCCCTGTCTAAATGAATGATCTATTTTTAAAACTTCAAAAAACACATCACGTACAATTTCAAGAATGGGATTCTAATTAGAATAAGTTTTACTCCATGGATGTATAATATGTCAAGATACACTCTACAAAAACAAATTTAAAAACTTCAAAAAAATTCAAAGAATGATTGATACAGGCTTATGTAATGCTTAAGATAGTTCTATATTTCTATTCATCAATAAACTGAATTCCATACATGTAGAAATAGGAGAGGCAGAACAGTCATCCAGATCTTTTCAAGTATATTTGTCCCTCAGAGACTTAGAACATCAGTCAGATGCTAAACAACTGTCTGGAAATATATCAAAGTAGAGAAAATGGTATTTAACTATCAGTAGAGTACTGAAAATGGTAAGTAGAAATAACATAGTAAGCCATTCCAAGTGTGTGTGTGTGTGTGTGTGTGTGTGAGAGAGAGAGAGAGAGCCAGAGAGAGCCAGAGAGAAAGAGAGAGAGAGAGAGAGAGAGAGAGAGAGAGAGAGAGAGAACGCACGCAAAAACAAGCAATAGACAGACACAAATCCCTAAAGAGCACTGCTTGAATGGTAATAAATAATACCAAAGACAATGAAGCCTTCATTGGGTGTTTCCTATGTACTAGGCACTGTGCTAAGTGCTATACCAGGACACCCCATCTCATCCCATGCATACCCTGCCAGGGTTCTACTGTTATTCCCACATGATACATGGAGAAACCAAGGCAAGAAGAAATGAAGTCAGCTGGAGCTAGCAAATCACAGAGGTAGACTAATCCTTAATCTTTGCTCTTAAATGCTGGCTCCTCAGCTACTTTCTAAGCAAGACATGCTGGGCTAAAGAGAACTTGTACTACCAGCTGCTGCAGAGGTGCCTAGAGCCTGAGTTCAAATTCTCAGGTATTCAAGGAAAGGCAGGGGCTACCCCTCCTGCTCCTCCACACTGTGCCCAGGCTCTTCTCTAAATAATTGGTTTTCAGATATGCAAAGAATGTCAGTGAGGAGTGCCAATTTGTAGTCTGCCTAGAGAGCCAACATATCTTAATCTAGCTCTATGGAAACGGACAGAGACAAGGCACCATTCCAGAATCACCAGTGTGTGGCTGCTACTCTTCGGGCAACTGCTAGGAGGACTCAGGTGTTTCTTTGAGGGACTCTGCACATGCCACCTCCCTGCAGCTCCACCTCAGCCCTACATGCGCATGTGTAAGCTCACTGTTTCAGAGGGGAGGAGGGAGCTTCAACCATCAGTGCCAAATTACACACCTATTAAGGAGTAGATCGAGAATTTGAATCTAGGCCTCTATAGCTTCAAATCTTCTGTCCCTATTAGCGTATCACCTAAGGGAGTGTGTGATCTTGTTTAAACCAACAGCCAAGGTCAGTGGCTAAGTTCATAGATTGGAGCCAGCCTGTCTGTGTTTGACTAGCTCTGCCACCTACCTGCTGTGTGACTGAGGGCAAGTCACTTATTTTCCCTGTGTCTTTCCACAACTGAAAGCTGAGAATAATAATTATATCTACCCTATTGGTACAATTACTATTCATCTAGGAATGAATGCTTTAATACTTGTGAAGTGTTTAGAATGGTGCTTGACACACAGTCAAGCATATTTATCTTAGTATGCAAAAAATATATAAAACTTTTTCTTATACACAGATGGCAAACAAAGCAGAGTAATGATATATTTATCAATGGAAAAATATGTATAAATCAGTTCCTGCAGTGTCCAATGTAGCAAGCCCATCACAAATATGGGCTGTGGGACCTGGTAACTTTCCATCTAAACTGCTGAACTAAAGAACACATTGGAAAAGGGTCACTGGCTTTAGTCTCAGAACTGATGTGAACTGGCCACACAACCTGGAGAGGTATTTCACGCCTCCAGGCCTGTTTCCTCCCATGGTAAAACTCCATGACAAGACAGTAAGGCACAGGGAAGGAAAGGGCTCAGAATAGGAGCCCAAGGCCCCTGGGGTCCAGTTTTCCCACACATGAATTTTATAACTGCTTCATGAGTTTCAATCTCCATTCTTCTAAAGTGGAGAAAAGTATGCCAGGGTTGGGAGCAAATAAGAAGGTGAGTGTAAGAGTCCCTCTACAAACAGGGCTTTCTATTGCCTGTGGCTGGGTGGCAGGATCTTAATAAACATTTGTGAAAATGATCTGCAGCACCTCCCACTATCCAAAGTAACTTCCTTCATTTGTTTATTACTAGTCTCTCTAGAATCTAAGATCCTTAAAAGCAGGGATGTCTTGATAAAAAGTCAGCACCTAATCAATACTTTTGGACTGAGTGGCAAGAAGGAATACATAGATCAGCCAGAAAATGACTCAAGTTACTGGGGGAGCTAAAGAATTGATGGAGAGGCTAATGAAAGCCCAAAGTAGTAAGAAATAGACAAGAAGATCCATAGGGCTAAAGCCATTCTTATCACCCAACTTCTAGATTCTTTACTTTAGGGAGGTGGTTTGGGTGGGGAAAAGAACAGTGAAGATACTATAAAGTGGCTAAATTAACATACTCAGCAGGTACAGACTTTCTAAAGCTGAATACCAACCGGGATAATTAAAGGCTAGAGCCTTCTCCTTTTTTAAAAAAATTGACTCCCTTATAAACTACCTGCTGACAAAGGCATAATTAAGTTGGTTCTTCTAAGAATATACCAGGGAACTTTTCTCCTTCATTCCTAATTTTTTAAAAAGCCCACATTCCCCCTCCCTAAACTCAATGAGCACTTAAATCACCAGAACTAAAAGAAAAGTTACAAGATAGTTTTAATTTTTAAAAAATTAAACCTCTTACATCCCTTTTTTCCAGTAATCAATTCTTCAGAGCCTCAGAAGTGACCGAGGCTGGGATGGGGGTGAGGGCACTGGTAGGCAAGCAGCTGCCCAGGGGAAGAGGTGGTCATATCAACTCTTCACTGAGGGATAGAGAGGTGCCTAGGAGCCTCCCCACTGTGCATCCACTGGGGGGGGGGGGATCTGCAATTTTTTGATACTTTTCTAAAAATAGGGAGT